GCTGAAATAAATCAGATGATCTGAATGAAAATAGTGTAATAATTACATCAGTACATATTAATATTGTGTGGAATACATTCTTCAGCTGTGTCTCAATTCAGAGGCTGCAGCCTGCGGGGGGCGCAGTCAACCCAACACATGAAGACTGCTTCCTTTGAGGTTTAAGTAGACTATGAAGACCAAACTGAAATGAAATGGTCCGTTCTACAGACGCTTTTCGAGATTAGCGTCCCCAGCTTGTCCTGCCCTTATTGCTGTTGCCTGGCAACAGAGCTGAAAATTGTAACAAGTTGAAATGTCTGCTTTGCTGTCCGGTTGCATTGAGGCGTGATAGTAAAGCGCGGGATGTCTCGTTACTTGCCGGTGCTGGAAGGACACATTTGTCTGTTGCATTTGAAGGAGCCTTCAAAATGGGATCCACATATTGATAAAATCTATTTGTTTTATTTTTTATCATTGATTTGTTTTCATTAATTATTTAATTCCTCTTTGTATAGTGGGCATGAAAGTCTTTTGAGACAGTCCTTTTTTTAGTGTTTAGTAAAGATAACAGATCAGGACTGTGCTGGAAATTTTACAGTATTTGATAGATTGATTGCTTGGTTGACAATGCTGATTAACTGAAGGGATACACTTTCCTTACATATTGTATATTGCATATATATATATATGTATTGTATAGTTGCTGGTAATATTGATGTGCAGATACAGATATGTATGGTATCTATATTGTCGTCTCACTTTCTTTAATAATATATGAGATGAATATGAAAACCGTCAAACTCATTATTTAACAGTAAACTGCCACTTCAGCACAGTTGCTTGTATCACTCCTAGATTAATGTCAGTGTTATTATGTCTTGTGCTCTTTTGCACAAACACATAAATATAATATCTGAAAGCTTGAAAATCTCATTGCCGTCTGTGTCTTGACCTCATTTTTTACCACGTCTCCCACCCAGACTTTCTCATAACACACTAAGCTGCTGCGTGCGTCTGTAGACAGCACGTTGAGGGGTATGAATACATCACTGGAAGTTGGGCTCTGCTGATGTTAAGTGGAGGATTAGTAAGTAGCTGCACAAGCTAATTGTTTGACTGCTTCAGGAGGCAGCTTCTGTCCCCATCCTTTATCAGCCTGTGTCCTCATTAGTAGCTACTGATGAGCTTGGCAAGGTCGTGTCAGGAGAGTGATGTTCAATAAGACTTGTGGTCAGCGAGCTTCTTTTTCCACGTTTAAGAACAGGAACAAACCGTTTCTGTTATAACATGCAGCTGATGTCTGGATTATTGCTTTTATGAAACATTCTCTTATTTTGTAAAGTATGTGATTAACATGTAGAAGTGAATTAGTGCAGTCCTATGGTGTATTTTTGCTTAGTTACAAGCTTCAGCAAACCTTCTTCAGGTCTTGTATTGTTCCCCTTGTTAATGAAATAGTTTATTTGCTTTGTTTTAAAGAGTTTGATGAGAAGAATAGAATAAAAGAGCTGGTGAGCTTATCAGATGGAAACAGGAAGTCAGGCTCCATCCAAATCTGCTTCCATCATCTATCACTGGCTAATTCACACTCTATAGTATCCAAGCCATGAAAAAACAAAAACTCAATATTTGTGGTGTGTATGTATTGAAATATTTCTCTGCTGCTTGGTGGGTCGATTCTCTGGAGTCTGTGCTAAATGTCTGACAACCTCCTTCTGACAGGATCAGGAAATCCACAGTGTTACAGTGCACAAAAAAATGTTGTTCTCCAAATGGTGAAATGACGATGTGACAAGTCAAAGTGCTGCAAATAAGATGTGAAGTCAGACTTTTTGACTGACTGGTGTAAAAATGCCTCTTGGCTTCAAGTGCAGAAGAGTAGTCACAAAAAAAAAACAATTCCATGTTGTTTTTCTGGACTTTTCTGCAGGAATACAAGTGGGTATAATTTTATTTCCTCTGGCAGTGGTTCTCAAATGGTGGTCTGTGGACCCTCAGGGGTCTGTGACACACTGTCAGGGGTGTGTTGAAATAATCCACATACATGGGTATTCTGTGTTGACATGGTGAAAATATTTCTAATACAGGTGTAATAGGTTATGTATGTTCGCAAATCTTATAAACATTTCTCCTGTGTTGTTCTTTAACATAACTAAGCAGGAGTAAAAAACAGACTACGTCAATTAATTCCATACATGTCATATTAGTGACTTGATGGAAGTGACCATTAGGTCATCAAATAGGTGGTACAAGTAAATAAAATTGTACAAAGAAGAAAACTAAACCTTACTAAAAAGTAATATACTGTTGTTGATTTAAATACACAAAATATACAGTGAATGTATTTTCAACTACTGGCAAGCTGCAGACTCTGAGTGCCTGAAGAGCTCCCTTTTACCAAGCAAGCCCCTCGACTGCTGTAGTTATAAATGATGCAAGACACGCCTAAAACACACACATCGTAGTCATGGAATGACCTCAGTCTCACCCAGCTATGTGAAAAATGCAGAAGTGCTGCAGCCACAGCCATGTGTTAGAGCCCGTTCTGCTTTTTCTCTGCATGATTTTATGCTTCTGATGAAGAATAATATAGAATATAATAAAGGAAAAAGCTTGTCCGTTGACTTTTTTCTTTTGGGCCATTGCTACAAACCACTGATCTCTGCTGCTTCGTCTCTCACTGGCTGGCAGCCAGCGGCCACTGCCAAGAGTTTAACGTGAGCACTGTGGCGCTGCAGCAGCAGAAAAGGGGAAATCAGGTGAGCAGCTGATGAAAGTTTGCCACAGAACTTGCCAAGACTTTCTCCAACTACTTAAACTCATAATTAAAAAGATACATATGGATGCATAAGGGATGAGCTGGCACTGCTGTATGTCTGTTGTGGCTTTCTCAAAGTATTATTTCAGACTGATCATCTCTCATTCAGCTCTCTGGCAGCTGGCTACTATATGTTGTAACTATTGTTTCATAGTAAAAAAGAAAATAATCATACCTACAACATAGTCTAGAACCAGAGGTTCTCAAACTTTTATACATCAACGATCCCTCAGCTGACAGAAACCTGACCACTGGCCCCCATTTGACAATATTTTTGATTTTACAAGTTTTATTTCAGGAAGTCTATGGAATTCAAGACCAAAAATAGTTTCTCGCTAAACACGTCATTTTGGGGCTGTGGCTCAGGAGGAAGGGGGTTCGATCCCCATCTGACACATTTTGTATGGCGAAGTGTCCTTGGGCAAGGTATTATAGTACTATGTAGCTGAATGATTTTATTCCCAGAACTCACCAAACTCGATGTAACTTAGAATTTAAAAAAAGGAAAATTAATAAATCTATAAAATTTAAACAAAAGGCCCATGTCAGTCACTTTGTGTTCATCCTACTTGGTTTCTCTGCAATGAAGTTTAGATGAATGGTTCGAGAGATATGCATTGCAAACCCAGACAGACAGACAGAGACAGACAGAGACAGACAGAGACAGATAGATAGGTGTTTGTTGAATTAGTAGGCAGATATTTTATCACACAAACAAACCTATGATAGTGAGTGATGCAAGGTTCCAAAAACAATAAAATGATGTTGTGTAGAAACTATTGAGCGTAATGTAATCAAAAGATGCCGGGGACAAAGAGGAGTTCTCACCCACTTGTCGCAGTATCCCATGTAGTAGCAGTGACATCACTAGTGTGAGCTTTAAAGTGTAACACCTGATCACCAGCAGATACTGGATGTTTCTACCGTGTCTCTGCTGAGATTGATGCTGTGTCTTTTATAAATCCTGCATTGTCCCAGTGTTGGGTTTCACTCTCCATTAGCTCTGTTCTGGAATACCTCCAGAAGATCTTTTCTAAATGTGTTATCCTCCAGCCAATAAAAGATTCACCGAATGCTCTCCTGTGCTGTGAGGTGTCACTGCACAGAGAAAAAACAACTAATACAATAAACACCCTTGAAGACAGAACATGCCCGATGTGTCTTGATCAGGCCTGTAAACACACTGTCCGTCTGTGTAATGAATTGTTGCACACAAGCAGGTTGATGACAATGTCACATTCTTTTATATTCTACACTCTGCTGCTGTTGGTACAGTTTAGCTCACCACCCAAAGTCTGCAGCTGTAATTACTCATTCGTTCACTCACCCTTCTGAAATGGCTGCAGTGTTAACTGTTCTCAGAGGTTTATCCAAAACATTGTTTCTGAAAAACAAGATTAATATGTGTCAGGAGTGTGTATTGTATGTCTTGGTGGAAGGATGTGGTGTAGGGTCAGAGAAGAACCCATTAAAATTTAGTGCAGATGTGAATCAGGGGATGGATAGAGATGAAGGCAGTTAGCTGATTGATCCTCAGCAGCAGCAGCAGAGTTGCCAGAGTGAGACACATGGGAAAGACACGAGAGACACACACAGAGGACGCAGACAGAGACAGGGCTGAGCCCAGCAGATAAAAATTAAAAAGGTTATGTGTCGGACACTTTAAGTTAAGATTGATTTCTGTTTCCTCACGTGTGTTAAAAGAATAAAAGTATGCTGAGAAGCAACTGGCTTGTCTCTGGCTGTTGTGGTGAGACCCCGGTGGCATCGACATGTGCCACAAGGTGGTGTTCAACATTTTCATTGATTTGTCAGAGAATAATTGATGGATCTTGATGAAATTGATTTTGGTGAATATGTGCAATTAGGCCCACATCCAAATAAAGATCTGGTGAAATGAAATGTGGTTTCATAAGGGGACTGTTAAGCTTTGATAAAGGAGTGTGCTCTGGTTGCCTTTCTAGTCAACCTATACTTATTCTAAATTGTTGATGTTTCCACTGATGAAGGCACCACCCAGGGTCTGCAGCTGTAATTCAGTTATTAAGCTGTACCCACTCACACTTGTTACAACTGTTACCAGACGTCAGGGGTTGATTCAGATGAACATTATTTCTGAAAAAACACGATTACATATTTACACATCATCAGGATCAAGAAAGGTCATTAACTTATTTTATTTTTGCACCCTGTCTTCCAGATTTCTCCTGGTCTTCTCCTGTCTCATCCTCTCCGTCTTTGCCACCATCAAAGAGTTCAAAAACAGCTCAGAGAGTGCCTTGTACATACTGGTGGGTGCCTTGTTTCATAACAATACTCATGCTACGTATACTGCGTGTCCATCACAGGGTTAATGCCACCATCTTGCTCTGGTCCACAGGAAATTGTGACCATCGTGGTGTTTGGTGTGGAGTACATTGTGAGGATATGGGCTGCTGGCTGCTGCTGTCGATACAGAGGATGGAGTGGGAGGCTGAAATTTGCCAGAAAGCCTTTCTGTGTCATAGGTGAGAAAATACCGCAACTTGTCATTTTCCCACCTCGATGAACATAACACTTTCATTTTTTAAATACTGGATGGTTTGACTGAACATAAGAACCATCTTTTTTATGATTTCATGTGATTTTCAGCTTTTTTTCGGTGAAACTTCATTTGGGGCAACTTTCACCTTCCCAGAAAAATGACCCTATTGTCCACAGTAAATATAGTTGTGATTTGATCAGTGGTAAACTACACCATCTCTGGCTTCCACTGCTTCCGAGCATCTGACTGTGTGTTGCTTCTCTCTGCAGACATCATGGTGCTGATCGCCTCAGTGTCAGTTCTGGCAGCTGGATCTCAGGGCAATGTTTTTGCCACCTCAGCCATCAGGAGCTTGAGGTTCCTGCAGATCCTGCGCATGCTGCGTATGGATCGACGAGGAGGCACCTGGAAGCTGCTCGGATCTGTAGTTTACGCCCACAGCAAGGTGATCCTGACATTGTTTCATTTGTTTCTTTAAAGGTTCTTTAGGAGTAAAGAACTGCACCACCAACCATAGCTGATGTCCTGTTTATTCAAGTTTACTTTAACTTTGAACCAATTACTCAAGTCCCATCAAGGCTTTTCTGGTTTGAAACAGATCTGGTCAAGACAATTCTATAAAGCCCGGATTATTTAGCACCATCTCTTTTTTAATTGATTATTGACAAATTATAAGTATATAGCTAAGGGTCTGGATGTAGTCAGACAACTAAAAACATTTTAAAGCTTTATATATATATATAATACATAATGTGCTGCACAAAGCATGAGCCACCGCAAAACTATATGGAACATTAAATGTGTGAAAACATATATACAAATTGTTGAAAAAAGTGTGATTCATTAAAACTTAAAACAATGAGACCAATAAAATAATAAGATGCATAAAACCAAAGCCAACCTTTTATTACATGGAAGTTCCCAGTGGAAAGTGCAGAATATTGTTATTGCAAAATATGTTACTTTAGGATATTGTAGTTCCTTTAGAAATGTGAATATATGTGATCAGGTACAAAAATAGTGTAACAGGTTTTACACACGTCTACAGATGAAACTGAATTTGTTTATGTTAAAGACTTAAAGAAAAAATGAAAAGTTAAAAGATAAAATATTCAGCCATTTTTGACCCCCTGTGACAGACTGTCTCCTGCTGTGCCTCTTCCAGGAAATTTGGAACGCGGAAAAACACATTTTCTCTCAGCTTTATTTTAATAAACTCTGAAATAGACTTATTTGCTTTCGCTAATAAGCTGTGGACAGTGTGTGTGTGTGTGTGTGTGTGGAGCTGAGGGAAATAAAAAAAAGGTTTATGAAATACTTATTTTGCCACAGAAGGCGTCTGACTCACATATCCAATATGATTGCACAATTGTATTTCTTACCAATTCACAGTGGTGACATCCCCTTCCTGTGAGAAGCTGCAGAGGTCACATTATTACTTTACACTCTCTTATGCTCCTTGTATTGGTTTTGTGTGTAGGAGCTCATCACAGCGTGGTACATCGGCTTCCTGTGTCTGATCCTGGCCTCGTTCCTCGTCTACTCAGTGGAGAAGGAGTTAAATGATGAGTTTGAGACGTATGCTGATGCTCTGTGGTGGGGACTGGTAAGATTAAAACTAAAAATAGCATTCTGTGATTTTAATCATTTTATCTCCAGTTTGCCCTGTCACCTGCACCACACCGCTGAAAATCATGTGATGACTTTTTATTTGTCTTGTCACCAGATCACTCTCACCACCATAGGTTATGGTGATAAGGTTCCCAAGACCTGGTACGGACGCCTGCTGGCCGCCATGTTCAGTATGATCGGAGTGGCCTTCTTCGCACTTCCTGCTGTAAGTAGGAGTTCTTTAGACCCAGTATATGCATTATATGCTAGAGAAGAGCCTCAGTTGTGTTCATTAGTTTTTTGTTCTTCATGGTGCTCATTAGTGCAGCATCACTGCTCTATCCCTCCATCAGAAACACTGTCCAGCTGGTACTTGATAGTAGCAAATGCACGGCCATTTAAATCAACCAAAGCAATTCAGTCCTTATAGCTGAACACTAATCAATGTTTTTATGTTAACAATGGATCAAAATGGATGGCCTGGTAGCCATAATGGTCTGAGCACATACCACATGAGTGCTCTAAACAACGGGTCCCTGGTTCAACTCCTGGCCAAGCATTACTATTTAATGCATGTCACTCCCTGACTCTCCCACCCCATATATTTCACTGTAACTATTTCTAAAAATGCAATATGTATATATATGATTAATGCAATGTGATGCTCATAGTAAATACCAACCGACTCATTCAACCCTTTTTGAGCTTTGAGACTTAATTTACAGTACAGAAAATAAACTAAACATTCCAAAATTTCCAAATAGTAAAAACAAGAACAAAAGTAATAATGGAACATAAAATGGAATAATTAAAAAATCAGTCCTTATCTTTAAAGACCCAACAGGAGTTTAGAGCTTCCTGAAACAATACACATATAGGGCAGGAATATTGAAAGAGTTCACTCCAAATTTTCACACAAAATAGATGAGCAGACTTTCTTCAACGTTATCAAAGCAGGAAAAGCAGCAGTGGAACTGTTAACACTCATGACTTAGTTGCATCTAATTGCCTCATGAAGCAGCATCCAGTTCCTTGGAAGTCCATCACACTGTCCATTGTGTTACATTTGCAGCTATGAGCATCTACTATGATATAAATATACAGTATACACTGGACAATGATGTGCACAACATTAAACAGTTTGGATTATAAGCCACTTTATACATACTTATTATTTTATGGTGCTGCTCTTAGTGCACTCTAAATGAGTCATTCTGGTACATGTGTCCACTGTGGTGCATGGACTGTATTCATGAGCTGAAAGCTTCTCCTGCAAAGAAAAAAAGTCTGCTGCTTTATCACTTTACATTCAGAGAGCTCTCAGTTTATGATGTGGTAGCTCCAGTCAGTGATGTATTTAGTCAGTTGCTGTTAAATGTTCAGCAATTTACGGTACATCTGAGGATGTCAGCAGTAAGCTGTGAATAGGCAGCCCAGACCTGTTCAGTCTATATGAACAGTGTTTTGCTGTATAAGACCTCAGATAACACTCATTATTTTCACTATGTAGACCTGTAATGTTTGTGTTTGAACTCAACATGCTCTAACTTGTCTTTCACCTGGAGGCTCTGCAGACATGTGAAAATCTGTGATACTTGTTTCACTGGGCTCCGAAGGGCTGTCGGAGGAAACGACTTGCTGTTGTTGCAATGCCAACCTCTGGCCAGCAGAGGTCAATCAAGGTCACTGATAACTTCTCTTCTGTTCAGGGCATCCTGGGCTCTGGCTTTGCCCTAAAAGTCCAGGAGCAGCACAGGCAAAAACATTTTGAGAAGAGACGCAACCCTGCAGCGAGCCTCGTCCAGGTTCACACGTCCATCAAACACTGCACCATAACATCAGCATGGAGAGATTTATCAGACAGACCATCTCCTGACATCTCTCTCTCCTTCCAGGCTGCTTGGAGGTTTTATGCTACCAACCTGTCCCGTACAGATCTGCTCTGCACATGGGATTTTTATGAGCAGACTGTAGCTATTCCAATGTACAGGTAAGAGAAAAAAGCCTGACTGAGTAATGTTTATGCATCATGCTGTACATTATTCAGCCAACAAATACAACTGTTTTGCCGTTAGTGTCGTGTTTCTGAATACTGGGAAACCCAATGAACAACTGCACTTATTGAAAATCCTCTCCTTATTGTTTTTGTTGAATCAGATAAACGACTCTGTGATGTAAATAATCCCACTCTGGTGCTGTAACTTTTCTCTTTTTGCTTTGATGAGGGTAATATTCCAGCAGGGGAGGCTGGAGTTTTGGCAGGGACACCAAATACCTTTTTGAAATGCTGTTCAAACGACAAACACTGCCAGTGGCTACTTTGTAAATTAACCACTTATTTTGCCATCCAGCTGAATGAATCAGCAGATAAACTGCCCTGCTTGACTTTCACAGTGCAGATTGCTGACTTTTAAGTGTCTGGAAGAAGAAGAAGACGAAGTTGACAAGTTGCTTGTCTGCTCTGTTTGGAGATGACTTTTGTTCCAGCTGTAATTTGAGTTGAAAAGGTGATGAGCAGAAAGAACACGGAAGTGCCAAACTAAATGGAATTAGCTTTAAAGTGCCTGATGGCCACATTTAACCTTTGAAAACAGTTCTGTTGACAGAATGACAGCATGCTTTTCATCTTTTCTCAGACTCATTCCACCTCTGAATCAGCTGGACCTGCTGAGGAATCTGAAGGGCAAGTCATTCAGGTATAAACATGATGGAAAATTAACCATCCATGTATAGATCAATGTTATTTTATTAACAGAGAGGTCAGACGTGATAAGAAACCCAGAGAGAGCTATCAGTCAACAGCAGGCAGCGAATCAAAACACAGAGTGTAATGGAAAATGAAATGGAAAATGGCAAAAGACTCAATTAAATATCACAAGAAATGCTGATGACCAATATGACTGAAAGAAAATGAATGTGGGTCAAATTTGCCATATTGCCACAAATCCAACTCCAATATATACAGTATATAGATACACACACTATACTGTGTAAGTTGTGGCCCCTTCATGCTCCCTGATCCATTACTGGAGCTACATGTTTCTGTAGACTATGTAAAGACCAAAAACTGTTTGACTAGCACTCAGTAGGTGTTTAACAATTTTAAATGAATGCTTATATTGCTAAAAGTTTAATCTGTGCAATGTTCACTGTATTATGTTCACATCGTGTTTATACTGCATCCAAGTGGCCAAAAATGGGTAACTACAGGTTTGAACCAATAACCTTTTGACATACACATCCATTTATTATGTCTTAACGTAACTTAATAGTCCTCACTGTTTTCTCTCCTGCTTGAAAATTTATTTAACTTTATGGTATAATTCATATTCACAAATCACAGTTTGCCTCATTGGTCTTAACAATCTGTACAAGGTGCCACATCTTCTGCCCTTTAACCCGCGACTAGAGTGAGGAAAAACTACTACTACTACAAAACCTCCAACAAGCAAAACGTAGAAACCCCAGGAAAAGTGATCAGCTCAACCCTCAAAAGCAGAGCAGTGTGGATGATATCATAACATAGAATAATACACAAATCATTCTCCTCACAGGAAAGAGTCCCAGGCAGAAATCTCCCCCAGGTCTGTGATCTGATTGATTTTTATCTTCCTTCACCTCCGTTTGGCTTCTCTTCAATCCTGCTCTTAGCTGCTGCTAAGGACTGCACTCTTCTTGGGGGAGTGTACTCATGTTGGAGGAGTGTGTGTTATATCATACCTGTGTGTGCATGTGTGTGTGTGTGTGTTTGCGTGTATTTGCGTGTGTGTTGTGGGGTCACTGTAAGTCCCGATGCGTGTGTTAGTGCCTCCTTCAAGAACGGTCATGCTGCATTTGCTCACATGGTTGTCAAAGATCAGCTTACTCTGGCCTTGCTCCCACCCGGCGGCTTTATGAAATATTCACCACTAAGCTGTTCTTTGAAACTCTATAGCTTTCAGTATCACTACAGGAAAAATGTTTTTGAACATTGAAAGAGCCTCGCTTGACTTTTAATCTGTTTTTGATAAAAGAAACAAGTGTAAATATTGTCAATGTAGTAACACTTCATTGTGACTTATTACATTACAATACATATCATTCAGCTGATGCTTTTATCTAAAGCGACTTCAACAAGTGCATTCAACCATGAGGGTACAAACTCAGAACAGCAAGAATCATGTAGCCCTTTGTAAATCCATTTGCATATTTTGTGTATGAAAAGTATGAAAGCATGTACAATCTAAATTCATTCCACACACAAAAGACAGACATTCAGCTCTATATGTTATGGTTGACAAAGAGGTTGCAAATGAATTCTGAACCACAGTTACATTAAAATGTTACTAGCATCACAGTATGGCTCACACTGCTGTTTTTGTGACTGTATCCACTGCTATTTTATCTTTTTTGTGTCTCCTGTACTTCCCACCACTCCAGTAATGAAAATGCACACAAAGACAGACTTTGCGGGTGCTGTCCGAGAACCATTAGGTATAGTTGCTGCACAGATACTAACAGCTGCACTGCAAGTCTGTGTGTCTCCTTCCATCCCTACCTGTGTTCCCCTTCTTCTTTAAACAGAAGTACAGTAAAGGTAGAGGAATCGCCTTTAGATGGTTGTTAACTAAGTGAATGATAACATTTGACTAGTTTACTGTTTATAGGGTAGTGCAGCTCCGCCATTGATGTCTACATGAAATATTATAAAAGAAATAATCTGCGTGCACCTTTTTCCATTTACTCAGATAAAATGCAGACATACATCTTTGTTTACCTCGCTGTCACAGTTGATTTATGATTTCTATTTAGTCTGCAGTTGATTTGCTTGCTGCCTTTTTTTTGCCTAATCAGCACTTACAAACTTCTGTTCAGCAGGCAAGTCGCATATCGCTGAGTACCTAACAATATGTTTCCTTTTGACTGACTGTATATCAGACGGAGCGTGTACAAAATTATGGTGAATTCTTTTGCACGATTTGTGTTCACTTTTTTGCACAGACTGAGACTACAGCTCTTTCGTGCATGCTCACTTTGCTTCCCATGCATGCTTGCTTTTAGCTTCCTGCTGCTTGCCTGACCCACTGAATGCTCCACTGTGTTCATATGTGGACATGGCTCCTTCTGCTGTGGGACATTGCCCATTTTGCATTTCTGCTGAGGTAAGAATTATCCACACATCAGTGCTGAACCATACCAATTGTTAGAATTACACTAAAAGCCACAAAGCAGTAGGATAAAGTCATCAAGTTTCTTCTAGTTATTTATATTGATGAAACTATAAAGAAATGAAATATTTAACATTTCTCTTCTCGGTACTGTGTAGTCGGAAGGCCAGCCTGAAAGACAAGGTGTTTCCCAGTCCCTCTAAGGTTTCCATGGCCAAGGGAAAGGCCCATTCTCCAGGGGCAGAGGAGGGCGCTGAGGCAAGTCCCAGCAAGGTCTCCAAGAGCTGGAGCTTCACTGAGAAGAACCGAGGGCCCAAGCACAGCTTCAGGGGCCGGGGCAGTGCTTCACGCCAAAACTCAGAGGGTGAGGGAACCCCACACTGTGCATAGTAACGTCTGACCAGATTAAGGGGGCAGAGCAGGGTGGCGTCAAATGTAAACAGCTCTGTTTAAGGAATAATATTCTATCACTCATATAGCAGTATAAATTACCATCATTTAAAACACAGTCTGTTTATAAAGATGGACTTACATGACAGCTCTCCAGAAGTGAAGCCAAATCATTTTGATCACCCCTGGTGGCTGGATATAGGCTGAAATATAGGTCATAAACCCTGCCTCCTCCATATTAGTCAATGGGAAAGTACGCATTACATATTAACATCATTTTAGTCAGTTCTTGTCACTTCAATGTATGTTCGGTTTATTTTTCTCTTAAATTTGGTTTTGATAAGTTAAAAGATGGTATAAAAACAGGTTGAAATTATGATTGACAGCTAAGACTGGTTTCATGTATCAGTGGGACCTCGATACCGTGACTCCACAATAACTACTGCATAGATTCTGGCTCCAAAAGACATGAAAAGCACAAGATGGCTGTACCCATATCTGTGATATTTTGGCTTTACCTATTTGCACAAGAGGAGGAAAAGGAGATGCTTCCTCCATCTTTAAATACAGACCATGAACTTAGCAGTGAAACCTAAACTTGTACTTACGTGGCATTTAAGATATAAATATGAAGCTATTGGTTAGCTTAGTTTAGCATATCTTAGCATAGAGATTGGAAGCAGTTTCTGTGCAAATAAGCCAGCTTGAACCAGCAGTTGGATATGATTTTATGTTGTTTTTATTTTGGATAGAGGCATAGCTATTTTTATGTTTCTAACCTAATAGCACAGCATAATATTATGCCAAAATAAGTTAACCAGCTGCTAATCCAGCTTCATATTTATCATACGGACTTGAACGTGGGATCTAATTCTCAGGAAGAACACAAATGTGCATTTTCTTTGGGGAAAATCAATGTTTTTAATTAAACTACAAGATGGTGAATACATGAAAAGATTAATTTTAATTTGCCTTTTTTGTTCTTTTGCAGTAAACACAAACTGTTGAAGCTTTTTAGAAATCTACTCTGTTGGACTGCATAAAGTAAAGTAGTTTACACGCTAATTGTTGACTGTGGATCTTTCCACACTTGAGAACTTGTGGAATAATGTAAACTAGAGCTTTGTGTAACTGTGTAAGCTCAAAACTCATCATGTTTGTATTTTAAGAAGGAGGGTGTTGATGACATTTAATGAATTGCAAACAAGCCTCTTTAAGGTGCAGTAACTGTGCATCATTTGTCATGCAGGTAAAGCTTGTTTCTCCTGAATGTATTTGAACATATGAGGAGTAAAGGGACATTTTGCAGCCAACATTTCAACATAATGCTGGGAGAGAGATGGCTGTTGGTTTGGATGGTTTGAATATCATTTATTACCAGACAGCACAACTGCATCCATATGTCATCCAGGCCACTGTGTCACTATCTACAAACATACTTATCTCCTTCACCGTTGATTTGCCATTGTGATAAACAATTCTACCCTATTCATATTAGTTGTTTTTCTTCTTCCACTTCATGGCATGTTAAAGTGCTGATTGAAATGCAGGACGAAGACTTTGGACGGAAGCGTTCTCCAGGTTAGACAAGTCATCTTGACATGTCTTGTATGTTAAGACTATGTAGCCTACTCTATAATATAATAGATGAGTAGTTTATCATACATACAGTGGCAAATGTAAATTCAGGAGAAGAGAGACTAGCCTTTTCAAACATGAACTAGAAACCATTCAGTGGACACCACCAGTTCCCATGTTTGGAATTGATTTGTCCGCCATTGTCATCCTGCTAGAATCCATAACAAATCTTTTCCCATGTCTCTCCTCTCTCTCTTTCTGCAGCAATTGAAGGTTTAATAAGTAAGACATTGGGTTAATATTTTGTTTGTTGTACAGTAAAATAATGAATCGACAAGTCAGCCTCACCAGTCTGAGAAACCTGCATGCTAAAATCTGCTGAGATTTGTTCACTTGACCTGAACCCTTTTTATTTGGATTTTGTCTTATCTGGGTTTTCCTCCATAATTACTGAAAGTCCTGAACCTGTTGCTGAGAGCAAGCATGTGATGATTTAAGTGTTCATCAGAATTATAAGAGCGCCATGTGATTACACATATTTACTTACAGTGGTGGTACTTTAGAAGCTAATCCAGGTTCAAGTCAAGTGATGCCAAGATGATCCAAAATTATCACAGTGACAAAACTTGCCGAAACCCTGCTGTATTTTGCATGAAGAGACCTCACTTTCCCTACCAGGTTCTCGTATAATATCTGATCAACAGTGATTAGGCCTTGACACCTTTGCCTGAATGCACTATGCTCCAAAATCCATAGGTTAGCCTTCTGGCTAAACTAAACATGCAAGCGATTATGCTAATCTACGCTGTAGTTGGTGGTGGGAAGAGAGTACTTGTCATTAAAGGTTTAAATAAAGCGTTTTTCCATCAGCACTATCCTTCAATTCTGCACCTGGTCTTTTTTCTGTTTTTCCACAAAGCTTGGTCACTACGCTCCAAAACCGGCTCACTGGCTTCACCATTGAATTTTACACCTTCAAAGCGACCGCTCTGCTTTGCTGACGCAAAGTTGTTGACGCTGGCCGCGTGGACGTCCCTGAAATATTCTTTAAGCATGTCTTTGTCCTTGCTCTGTAGAGGCGAGCTTCCCAGGAGAGGAAATGGGTGATGACAAGAGCTGCCACTGTGAATTTGCCACCCAGGAATTACCTCCCGGGTTGAAGGTTGCAATACGGGCAATCTGGTAAGGGGTATTCTATTGTGTAATTTTTGTTGTTTCTCCTAACTCTGTGGTCACTGTTGCATGGTTTGGGTTATCTTGAGTTTGACTTTCTTGGTTTTGGCCACCATTCCAATCTGTGATGTGAAATAATGTTTGTTCTTATGATGACATCTCTAAAATACTTCAGATTGGGAAACATGAGAATCATATCATGGATATAAATCTCCAGGTGATCTCTCAATAGGTTGTTTACATAATCAGGCTAACCTGCTGGGTTTTCTATAAACCGCTCTCAGAAGTCACTTTTCTGAGTGAATAACCTCTGAAAAGTGTTTTTGTATGTGCTGATTTGGTAGTTTGTTAGCCAGGCAGGACCCAATAAAGAACTCGATCAATTTTGGTGTGGCACCAGATCAGTGGGCTGGATCCAGGATATTTTTTTCAATTTCTGTAACATTATGAGTTTTCAACTGAAGGGCACAATGAGAGCTCATCCCTCCGATGAGGCTAACGCCATCTTCCATCCTGCTAACAAACACACACACAAACAGCAGTGAAAACATCAATCAACAGATGGAGTTCACTCCCTGTTAATATTTTGACCTGAAGATTTACCTTTCTGTAAAGACAACGCGATGTGGGGGACAGTTTCAGAATCGTGAAGATTGATTTGTAAAGTTAGGAAAATAACAATTATTTTAAAAAAGTTCAATTGAATTTCCCTTTTCAAGGGAAGGTTTTTATCATTCGCTCTGTCAAATTGTTGTAATGTTCCTGTTTGAGGTGTCACACACTGGTGTAAATCTTTCCTCAGCATTATGAAGTTCCTGGTGTCAAAGAGGACGTTTAAAGAGAGCCTGCGCCCTTATGATGTCATGGATGTGATCGAGCAGTACTCTGCAGGTCACCTGGACATGCTTTCTCGCATTAAAAACCTGCAGTCCAGGCAAGTGTGCTTTTACTGTACGGAGGGTTTTAGAATATTAAAATCAGAGCCACGTCATAAAGTTAGTTTTTTAAGGTAATTAACTAGTATTTTTACACTCTACAGTATAGTACTTAAGATGTCACTGGATACACACATGTTGTGACACTGTCACAAGTTCATTTGCTCAGCCACACATGTGTTGTATTCAGATCCCAGTTGTATATCTAAAGTCTTTATCTATAGAAATATGATTTACTCTGAATGCATCTCTGATTCCTTTGAGATATACCGCTTTGATGTATGATTCAGATTGTTTTCTATATCAGTTTTCCCTCCCCACAAATTACTTTCTCCCATCTTGATCCCTTAAAGGTGGAACATGTAGGATAAATATATTCCAACAGTGAAATACACACATAGACTTTCAATCCACAGTCAGATTCACTGTATGTCTTGGGTATGTGGAATATATTGAGACTTGTTCTCCACAGCTGATGTGATTCCCACGTTGCTTCATTTTGCATTGCACTCATATCGTCTCTGTGTGCCTTGCCAGGATAGATATGATTTTGGGGCCCCCTCTCCCTTCAACACCTCGCCATAAGAAGCCCACTGAAGGTCCTAGGTTAGGTTTATAGACTGCACCTTTAGAATGACCATTTGACCAGCATTATGCGACTTATACCATAGACCCAATATCAAAGCAGTTACATGCTACCTTATCATTTTCTGATTGATGGGACCCCTTTTGAGTTCAAGCCGAGTGACCTGTCTCATTGACCTGAGTAAAACGAGATACATGAAATCCTTTTCAAAGATCCAATCAACTGTTTCTCATCCATTTTCAGGATGTTATGTTGTTATATTAGCTCTTACATCACATTATATCAGCTGCTATCCAGTAAAGGTAAAAAAAAAAAAGTGAGACTTTCTCAGTGAATGTTAATGAGCCATGTCACAGGGCCTGACTCAACAGGGGTTTAACAGTGCTAGATGCTTGTTCTCATACTGTAGAGATATATAGTGAGAGCTCCCCTGGTAGGATGCAATGGAAATGAAGCATGAAGCATGCCAAGTGATGCATTTTGACCTGAGACAAAATGATCCCTCTATTCACCTTTTTCTTTCAGTTAAAATCAGATTCAAATCATAACGCATGCATCCACATCCTCCACCTGAAATCCTTACTAAATGTTCATTCATACAAAACAAATTTACTTGTATCTTGGTGAATATCATCCACATTGCTTTCTTTGCTCTTTTTCTATTTAAAAGTAATTCACATAATGGCATCATGCATTTCTCCAGAATTAACATAATAAACCTTTATGGCAGACTGATTTTTAAAATCTCTCATATTACCTTTCTTTAATGCTAGAGTTGACCAGATAGTTGGTAAATATCCTAAAGCTGACGGAGATGCTGCCGAGGACCAGAGCATGATGGGACGTCTGGTCAAAGTGGAGAAACAGGTAGGAATCTTTCAACCAGGTCTGTAAAATCTATATGATCAGTTTCTCTGGTCTTATTATTCATTGGTCTGTGTTAGAATAAAAGTAACTACTGGCAACATTTCTCCAAAATTCAATATTGAACAGACAGTGGAATTAACTAAAGTGGTTTCTTAATTTTGTTGGTATATTGTCATTCAGGTGAAGGAACACTGTTTCTTTCATTGTGTGTTTAATTTTTTCGCTGCAGGTGGTGTGTATGGACAGGAAACTTGATTTTCTGGTCAATGTGTATGTCCAGCGCATGGGAATCTCTCGTTCTGAAACAGAGGCCTTTTTCAATTCCAAAGAGCCGTATCCAGCTCCGCCGTACCACAGCCCAGAGGAGAACAAGATGGAGAAGGAGGGAAGAGAGGAGGTGAATGAAGAAAAGGAGGTGAAAACCTGTTCACCTGCAGAGGTCCCATGCTCTGATGGGTCTTCTGAAAAGAAAGATCCTTTACTGGGTCTGTCTGTGGCCAGGTCAGTGGGTACCCCCTCTGGCAGCAACAGCCGCCCCTCTACCTCTTGGCAGCACCAACTGCAGCATCCCCTCAGCCAGCCCGCCTGGAACAGCAGCATGGCCAACACACCTTCACCGGTCGGTGGCGAGCACCCGACCAACCTGTTCCGCCTTCCGCCTCCTCCTGCTCCGGTCCACGACCGCTCGTCATCCGGCCTGGGTGGTAACAGCAAGGAGAGCTGCTCCCACAGCAGGAGGCGCCACAGGAGGCAGAAGTGTCAGCAGGATACAATTGCTGTGGAGAGCGACACGTCTCTCTCCATCCCGTCCGTTGACCACGAGGAGCTGGAGCGCTCTTTCAGCGGCTTCAGCATCTCCCAGGCCAAGGAGGACTTCTTTGGGCCTTCTTTCTTCACAGGCTCAGGAGGGGGAGCAGGAGCAGGGACTGAAGCCGGACCTGGACCCTCACTCTGTGCCAGAGTCAGACCCTTCATAGCCGAGGGTGAATCAGATACAGACTCAGACCTCTATGCTCCCTCACCTCTGTCCTTCACTGGAGAGGTCTCCTGTGGAGAGGGGGGGTGGCCAAGACTGAAGTAGATTCATTGTGAACGGGATCAGTGCTTCAGTTGCCAACAGGAGACCTGTCATCAGACTGTGCAACCAAATGATTGATGCAGTTACAAACTATTTAAGGTAGAGTGAATGGTTCTGATCGCTCTTTATTACAGAAGATGGTAAAGTATGTTCTTATAAAAAACAACCGGTTTGTCCTTTATCACATTTTTTGTTTGTAATGTTACACTTTACAAGAAATGCTTAATTACATGTGCATTGCCTTCTACTGAGTTTTATTTGTCAGTGATGGCAGATACGTGTGTGACTGTGATGTGTGGTGATGATTTAATTTTACACTGAATTAGCCATTGATTTGAAACGAGAACATCCCTTTGCTTTCTTTTAGTGGTGAGTGCACTTCTTCTGTTGAACCACTTTAACTTTGAAAACACAGTGGCAATTAGTAAAGCAAAGATTGTTAGTCTTATCATGTGGTTAGCGTAGTGTCTTGCTAGCTTCTATACCTTTGAATGACTTGAGATGTATTGATGATGCCAAAATCTTAGCTATGATAATCAATTAGATTCCTGCAGAGTAAAAAAAAAAAGAGTGCTTGCTTTTCAGCATCATTTATTCAGCCTAGTGTTTATTAAAATAGTAAAGAGAAACTCCCCTCAAAGTATTGCAGATACTTCCCCCATCAGTAAACCACAGAACGTCCTGCATGGCATGTTAAACGGTTGATTTAAGGACTGTGTTTGGAGGCAGGCTGCAAAACCGTGGCAAAAAGTCAGCACAACCACCCACTGAGTGTTGTCCCTCTGTACAGAGCAGTGAATAAAACATGGTATTGTGCATGCATGACTGGTTTCAAGCTAGTGTGTTGATTTTTAGGGAGCTTTACTGGAATTCCCCTCATGTGAGAGGCAGCCTGAGCTCGCTACTTTCAATGGCTCCTCTTTTCTGGGCAAATTTGAGAATGAATGAATGAATTATGTATGCATCAAATGCAGAGGCAGATGTTTATTAGCACAGTCTATATGTATAGACATTAACTTGTGTGATTTGTGTTGTTATTACACAACAATCAGTGCTGATGTTGGAGTGAGTCACCTATAAGGGAGATTTACGCTGTGATGCATATGTCAATCATTTGGATTCATTGTAGATGTGTTTGTTCTGCACTAAATGAGAAAATGCAATAAAAATCGAGCGAGGCAATCAAGAACCGTCCTTTAAAAACATCAACATGGCCTTATTTTTCATGACAGAATCCTTTGTTTTGTAAGTACAATAAATTTCTTTGTTAACATTTCATTTATTTTCCAGGTGTTATAGGTTTGACTGTTTCCTCAGAACAGAAGGTTTAACAAATTTAACCACAGATGCCAACATGAGTCATAGAAAATCATCTTCAGTATTTGAAAATTTACTCTAGAATATGGAAGTGATAACAGAAGGAGGATTTCAGTCAGTGGAATCTGTTCACACACAATCTAAAGGTTTTCTGAAAAGAAGAAACAAACCAGCTGGAATTTTTCCCCCTCCTTCCACTCCTACATGAAACAGTGGTTCTTAGTTCAGCACCCTCATGTAACTGCATTTTCTTCCTCTTCAATAATAAAACTTTGTACATCATTGAAAAGCATCTCATTGATCCTCTGTTTTTTTTTAACCCTCCTTGTCGATGAAGCTGTAAAGATGCTCTGCTGTGTGTAAGTTTATCAGGAATGTGGTGTAATGGTGGCCATGTTTCACTAGATGGCAGCCAAGAACTTCATTTGAGTGGGTGCTTTTTAAAACCATAGATCGTAGGAGGAGGAGTAGATTTATAGATTTCTCAGTGTTCACATGTTTTCCTACAATAAGAATGTTTTCAGTTTTTGACAAGAATGTTTGTATGTTACTAAGATAGATTTAGAAAATGATTGTATGTTTTTATAATTGTAATGTAGATATCTAACTGTATTTTAAGACACAATATACACAGATGGGGCAAATTTCACTTCATTTTCTTTACAACTGTAGCTAGAAAGGTTTCTCGATCAGGTGAATAATCCTCACTGTGACTGTGTAATGGATTACTGGCTCTCCGGATAAAATCTCAGAGAATCTGGTCAACAATCATAGTTCACATGCTCAACTTTAGACTGATTCATGGCTTATTAGAAATCTGAAACCCACAAGTATTAATTGATACAACTTGATAATATTTATTTGAATGAATGAACAAAGGTGGCCACATGTGCTTGTGAGCTTATCTATCCCTTTATAAAGTGTGATTCATCACAACCTGTAAAAGCTCTCGACAACATTTGGGAACCTGGCTGAGAGGATTTACTTCCATTCATCCACAAATGCATTAGTGAGTGACAACCAATGATAATGGACAATGAGACCTGGTTCACCACCTGCAAGGGTGTTGGATGTGCTCACAGCTCCGTGCAGGCTTAAAAGCTCCTCCATACCAAACTGTGAAGCTTTTCTCTTTTCCAGAAAGAGCCAGACCAAACATACTGGAGGAACTATTATCTATAATAATAGCATTTGCTGTGCCCCCAAAAGAAACCCCAGACCAAAGTTACATAAACGCATGTGTCCATACATTGTAAATGACTTCCTCTCTAAGTGTGTGTGTGCGGCAGCAGAGTGTTGATTTGTTCATTGCTGTCGCCTGAAGGATTTTATTTAACAACCTATTTAACAGCCATTGGTGATTGTAAATGAAAATGAAAATGTGAACAAAGCGGCAAAGGAGTGTTTCCATTCCTCACGCTCAACACCAGGTCAACCAATTTGTTAAGTGTTGTGGGGTCAAGATCTGGGTTGAAAGGGTGATTTAATAGGAATTGATTGGCTCATTAATAAAAGTCAAATGATGGCGACACAGCACATAAGGCTTATTTACTCTCTGCAGCAGCTGGGGAATTGCAGATGTCTTGACCACCCAAACCTCAGAGCAGAGGACAAACAACCAGGGACAAGCATGTGAAATAGAATCAATGTGAAGACATGCATATTACGTGCCTGGTCAGAAAATGCAAGTTTGTGCGATATATCAAGAAGACACTCAGCGTTTATCTGAAGTTTAAGTAACATAACAACAAATGAGAATGTTTCTTCAACATGGCCACTTTGCATCATGAACACAGTGATAATGCTGCTCATTTTGTTTGTGCCCCTCTAAAGATGACAGATTTGTGTTTAAACAGTGCCATTAGGTAGAGGTGGGACATTGACCCTTTTCTTGATAAATGATAAGAGCCAACAATCAATGAAACCATTAGTGATCTGACTCCTGTGAGAGAACTGTCGAACCAGAGGCCAAAACAGATGGACTCTATGCATTTTGGTAATGGTATGTGTGCTCACATGTTTCACCATCGAGGTGCAATGACAGGAATGCAATAAAAAGGTCTTCCATAGTTTCACACTCCACTTTTCATTAGAACAAATGACACTGATGTATAAATACAATAAATGAACGTATTGTATGTGCACTTTCTCTAAATAAGCTCAGATCAAATATGAAGCCGTCATTTGCTGGAGGTGACTTTTCTACATCTACAGCTGAAAGGAAAAAAGGACTCTGTGTCCTTGACACCAGCTGTGTTTGTGCACAGCGCTGGTCCGGTGGTCTCCTTGCAAACATTTTATTTATGTATAGCATCGATGCCCACCAAGAGCGGACATGGGTGACCTTCCTCTCCCTCTCCTCAAACACACAGGTCGGTAATGACGATAGGTGTGGGGGATTAACTAGTGTGTAGATAACACTGGTGAGCGTATCACAATCTAGATTCATTAAACATTGGCTCCATTTCAGACAAAGGCTTTGCAAAACAACAAGGGCAATGTGTGTTGGTTTAATGCTTCATGACTGCAAATGATTGGTGTTCTCATAACCCTGTGGAAAAGCTCTTATACTCAAATATATAAATGTGTAAAAGCATAAAAAATCTTAAAAAAGGGCCAAAATATAATAATTATATTAAAAAACAGGGATTATTAACTATGGCAAATATATGACTTAAAACACATTGTGATTCGTTTTTCATTCTCCTCACATGAGGACCTTCAGAGTGCAAACTTAATGCGATCTCATTCCTGTGACCATGATGACACTATTCCAGTTCTGGGTAAACAACATCAAAAATTGAGCATGTCCAGATATTGTTTCCTGCAGGAGAATAATACATTAAACAAAACCTAATTGAGAACACACATTTCATCATTAATCATCAGACAATTACCGGATTGCATTGATCTTAGTTCCCTCAAGGCTTCTGCCTGAAGCAAGTCAAGTCATCCATTTATCAGCTTGGAGGAAGGATAAAACAATTGTATTGATGCATAACCTGACTTGACTAATTAGTTTGATATACTAGTTGTTAGAGAGCAAAGTCACAACTGTTTATGTTTGGATGTGAAGACAAAGAAGGAAATCAGCTGTACAAATAGTAAATGTTATGTCACTGTGGAAATCCATCCAAGAGATATTTCAGTCAGTGTGTTGGACCAAGAGAGTAATGTCTCTGTCCCTGCAGCCACAGTGCTAGTGTGGATACAAACATATAGTGCCAAAATACAGTGATGTGTAGACGAAGGTTTTTAAGGACACATGTTGAAGACATTTGAGTGTGCTGCAATGAACCACGTATATTGGTCTGTGCACCTACAACTGTGATGCATGGTGTAGACCAAGTGATAAAGCTAATTTTACTGGTTTGTCTTTGAAAATTACAAATGTCTGTTGGATTTATGAATTAATTTATTCATTAATTCATACACACACACACACATGAAACACCATAAGCCAGGTTAGAGCACAAATACATAATTTATAACAAAGAGGATCCCTTAGATTTTTAGCACAAACTGAATTTAATATAATTCAATCTTTATTTGAAAAGGAACAATGTACTTTAGTCAACATTCATACAAATCTTAGCTGAAAGCTAATTTTCATTGGCATTCCCTTTGCCACATATTATAGGCATCCTGCAGTTTTAAAGAATATGTGTCAGACAGATTTTAGTTGGCTCACATGATCGAACTGGTCTAATCTTACCTCAGAGTCACACATGGCTTTAAACACACCATCTGAAAAACAGATGAACAAAAGATCAGAAGATGGTTTGGTCATAATGTGAATTACATTCATTGTTTTTTCTTTATCTTGCATAAAAATCACACGTCTTCGTGACACCTGCCCTGTCCTCGTCCACCTCCCTAACCTTCCTCAAGTGTTTACCATGAAACTCTCCAGACCTTGTCATCCTCCACCTGTCCACCAGATGGCCTCAGTCTTTCCTGCCTCTGCCTTTCACCTGATCCTGCTCCTCAGCAGCCACTTCCTGCTGCTTTGAGGCCCTCCTGCCTGTCCATTAGTTTGCCTCTTTGAACAACCTGCATGTTGCCATGTAAGTTTGCTTTTCTCTTTGATTCTACCTGCACTGCATGTGTCTGCATGACGGTTCAGGACATATTTGAGCCATAAAACTAAACACAAGGAGGTAACAGACGCTATAAAGCTTCATAAAGCCAAGATGGTGTTTGTCTCTCAATAACTGAGACCTGCAGTCATCCAACCCCTATGATTGATGAGATCATTTTAAAAATGCCTTTATACTTGCATTTATAAAGAAAAAAATACGAAATATAAGCATACTTGAGACCTTTCTATTCCGAACAAATTATCTAAGAGATAAGAAACTAGTTTATGAATGCTCTTAAAGAGAAATACTTGGCTCTGAACATAACATAGGTGTTTGAGAACTTTTATAACATGCGTCACTGTTATGTAAAGAGACAGAAGTATTTGCACTCCTTTCTGTTACGGCTCCAATTGTATTTCTATGACATTCACCAGCTTTATACGTCTATAAGGTTTTGCACCAAGGCAGCTTCTTTGGCATCAGTCTCAGTGGAGGGACAAAAAGAAATGAAGGTTGGAGCTGAAACTAAAGCAGACTCTGTATTGAATAATTGGTCCTTGACTTGCCAGCGGCAGATCTCTTTAGAACACAGATGATGACAAAGACGTGTTTATCTGTCGGCGGAGAAGTGATGTGGGGTTTCAAGAACTAAGCAAATTCCTTATCTATGAGCTGTGATGTTAGAGATAACAGTTTATGATTCATTTATCCTTTTTAAGCCACTGAGGATTCTGGGTTTTAAGGGAAACTGTAGTTGTCAAAAGTAACATTAAGCTTCGGCATAAACTTCAGCAAATGTTCACAGTTGATATTCTGTGGTCTTGTTGTATGAGGTGCAGCAGTCATTGGAAGTTACCTCCCCTCAACATGAAAACAACAAATTAAAGTCGACAGATTTTCATTTCATCCCATTAGAAGTGATGATGATTCATGTCAATCATGATCACTCTGCTGTTTCTGGAACCTCCACATAAATCACAGATTGGTCAGTGATATTGAATTGAATTGGATAACGTAATGCGCTGATATTGAGTAGCCTACTCTGTGAAGTTTTCATGTGCATCATCATTATTTTAAATCAAGCTGTCAGATAGTTTGTGTGCTGAGGAGCAAAACAAAATGTGTGTCTCTTAGTTATCAGGAAAAGCAGACGACTACTGGACAGGTTACCATGAAACTTAATGGTTGTAGCTGGGGGGCTATGGTTCTAACCTGAAGAAAATGTAATTTAACCAAACTTTAACTTTATACAGCCACAATAATAATTTAAAAAAAATTCTACAGAGGAGCAACTCAGTCAAAGAGGGCAAAGGGGCAGTTGTCCAGGCCACTTTAGTCCTATGCTGTGCACATCCCTGGAATGCGGTATGGGTCAGGAAAGAACGCATATATTTTGATATTAATCTGAATCAGGGTCCAGGATTTTTTAGATGTTTCTTTAACATTGGGAGGTGTTTTTTATCAACAGTGCCATTGATTTCTCAGAAAATAATCAATGGATGTCGATGAGAGGACGGATATTTATGAGTGTGCACAGTTTGTTACAAATGCAAATAAAAATGTGGATCTAGTGAATTTGGTCTCATAAGTGGACTGTTGGGTCTTGGTGAAGGAATGTGCTCTGCAGATTTCTACTCTAGTATTCTGTATACGTTTGGCTTATGTGAACAATGACTATTACCATTATAATGCTAATGTAATACTTCTACAAGAATAACTACAAGTACTTATACCACCACTATCATTATTCTGACCATGAGAACCGCACTCTCTCGCCTTAGCGCAGCTTTTAAATTAATGGAGATATAACAGGAATCAGCTGAACAATGGCAGGAGTTGCTGAGTCCATTAAGGTCTCTGTGAGTAGCTCAATAAATCCTTCTCAGCAAAATGAACAAAACATAATTGAACTCCGGGCAGACAAAGAAACAGTGCTGCTAAAGCACAATTAAAATTAAAGTTTTCTGCTAATTTGGTGTTTTTATAAGAGGAGCGTAAATTAACATTGTTCAAGTCAATCCTGAACTCAAATCATCTTGCTGGGAGCCTAAGACGCAGCACTGAGCATGCTCAGTGTCATGGAGATAAAATGACCTTCCTGTTCCTGTCTAGAAATGGACTTAGGACGAGGATGACCTTCATGACTGTCTGACCTCGACAGATAAATAGATTTTATCGGGATCCACAGATCAAACCGGACATACAGTAGATATCATATCATAATATATTTTCTGAGGCTCCTTCCTGCCAACCTCAAGCTGATGCAGACACGATCTTGACAGACACATTATACCAGCGTCATACAACAAATGATCAGTGTGCAAATATTTGCAGAACCTTGACACTACACTCAGTTGACAGTTTATTAGATACACCTGGACACAACTAATGCAGTCTAATACAGTGGCCCTGCAAATCATTGTGTATTCATGACATTTATAATACAGAGGAGCTTCCATCATTGTTCCATTATTACCTCCGTCTTTCTTTGTTTGTTAGCAGGATGACCCAAAGGAAAAACCTGTACAAATGTTGGGTGGAACCAGATTAGTTCGGGAATCCTTTAAACAATGTGAGATATATTTTTTTTCAACATTTTTGTTGATTTCTCAGAGAAAAATTCATGGATCCTGATGATAAAAATCTGACATATTTGGGGCACTGATATTTTTGCGTCTGTGCAATTTGGTGAAGATCCAAATAAAAAAATGGATCCAGTGAATTTATCTGCCTTGCAGATATGTGATTGACGTGTAGACTAATTAAAGATGTTGCACCACTACCAATTCAACAATGTGTCACTCTGCAGAGACAATGCTAGGGACTGTTTTTGGACAAACAGCATTCTAAGATGGAGCAGCGGAAAAATGGAACTCAGTTCCCACCTAAATCGGAGAATACACAGGCTTCAATATTTTGAAAATGACACTTAAAACATGGCTCAAGACAAATCAGTGATGTGTTCATTGACCTTGGAACCGTTTTCTAACTTGGACAAAATATCATGTATATTTTGCAGAATGTTTTATACTGATTGCAAATTCTGTCAGTTGTTTGGTATTTGATGTATTGTACTGTATTGGCTTTTATATTTTCCTGCCTGCGGACACAGATGCAAAATAGCTATTGAACTAACTACGGATCAATGGTTATGACCTTGCTAGATAAAATAAATTGAATAAAAAAATATAATACAATTCAGTTTTGATTTTGGTTAAAATGTATGATCATTTTGGAGTCTGCAGTTTACTGTGCTGATGAATTTAGATATTGTCATCCAGATAGGTGTTTGTGTTATTTTGTCCACCCCATTTAAACCAATGACTGCAGGGAACATAACCATAGCACCTCCCTGTCAGCTCACAGACCATCCTCCAAAAGGACCAAACAGTTGACTTCACACATCTGTAACAGTTTCAACACAAACTGAACTTTATAACATGCAGGCAGAATGTGTTGCAGGACTATAGGGTTAGACTCTATTAATTTCTGCTAGGTGTTAAACTGACATCTGTCTGTGTGTCTGCTGCAGAAAAGGGATGCACCTTATTTCTTCATGGAAAAATAAATTGGCTGGTTTGTCCCCTCCACATAGAGGTCAGAACACAAAGTTGGCCAGAGAGCAGCACTGTGCTGTGGCTGAGGATGTAGCTGTCAGTGTGATTACATTCATTCATTAGTATTTGCTGGGAGTAGCGTGGCCGATCTCACACAGCCTTGGGGGAAGCCTTAAAAAGGATCCTAGACTCAGATAGAGCCAGGTTCACTGCTGTGTTTTTGTGTGTGAGTGTGTGTGGTACCTGATTGCAACCGCTGAAGGAGGCTGTTGGGTTTGAATTTAGATCTTATGTCCATGATACTCGAGCAATGTCACCATCAGATGCCTCGGCTGGGAGCTGATTCAACAGTTAAAATCAGTGATTTGTGAATTCAGAGAGCGGGGAGGGGTTGTGAAAAGTATGGAAAAGGTGAAAAGGTGATGTCAGGGATGAACTCGTCAGGAGTTCATCCAAGAATACTAAGGCTCCATCTTTGTGGAAAAACAAAGATGGAAGGGTAACACAATGAGTGAGAGACTGTGGATAAAAATAGGAGTTTGTGTGCGGTGACCTGGCCTGATTTTTTCTGATTAAAAGAGCAGGTCCTGAAGAAAGTCATGATTGGTGTATGTCGTAATCATGTAGCTTCACAGAGGTGAAGATGAGCTGCACAGCCAAATAATATGAGCTCGGTCGTAGCATTCATGGTCAGTGAAGATGTCTGAATGTAGCTACTGAGGTCTGAAGTGAGAAATATGAAGTGGAGTGGAAGTGCAGGTTCTTTTTTACTTTCCGCACAAGCTGTGTGGAAATGAGAAGTTGAAGGTCAGAGAGAGGCAATCAGCCGTTTCATAGAAAATAATTTGAGTGAGACAAATGTGAATGAAATCAGCTCAAAAGGGGGAATCCCACTTGGACCTATGACATGTAGCTCACGACGGGAAGAAAAAAATGGTAAATTAAAGGTCTTGAAATTCCTGCCAGGTAGTGGAGTGAGGGGTGCGGGGCAGTGGATGATTGCACCCTGTAGGGTTACAAAGAAACTGGTGTTGGTGTGTGAGACAGAACGTGAGGTGGATGTTAGTGTGTATACAGTCGATGGACACTCATTTTACTGGGACACATAAACGCGGTGAACTGTGAGGTCAGTCAGAAGCTGAGAATCACTCCTGCACATTCTAACATTGGTGTCTGTGCTGAATAACATGGAATGCATTAACTCTGCAGGAGTCAAACTCAGGCAGACAGCTTCACTAGTTATCATATTGAACACATAATACATTTTGGTG